TATTCTCGACGCCCCCGCCCGCCGGCTTCATATACGCAATGGAGGCGCCGCCGCCCTATCCCGGCCTTAACACAGCGCCGCAGAACTACGCGCCCTATTCGCAGATGGCATTCCCAGCCTATGGACAACCCATGGGACAACCCATGGGACAGCCCTACGCTGCTAATGGGGGACCAAACTATGGCGTCTACCAGAATGGAGGGGCGATGGCAGCGGCGCCGACAGCCCCACAACCGCCCGGGTTTTCGTTCAGCGAGAAGCCGCCCACTTATGACGAGGCCATCAAAAAGACTCAGTAAATGGTGGGGCCGTAGGGTTAGGAGGCGTAGGTTTGGTGTAAAATAGTAGTGATTTGCAAACAAATTTCCGGAAATTGTTTCATTAGTTTGCGTTATTTTTATTTAATATGTACTGTATTTCTAATTGTATTTTATATTATTTCTGATAAATTGATATTAATTTAGTATTAAGTCTTCAGATTTATGAGTAAATTTTGATATGTTTTTCAAACTAATGTCCAGTTTATGTCGTGTCTACACAAAACTCTCGAGCAAATGATGACTGTTTTTGAACCGATTATATGATAATTATATTTACTTTGTGTATACTTTTACGATACCCAACGCCAAATTGAAACAATGTTTATGACTCTAAATGTGTAAACAAACAAATACTTTGTATTTAATCTCAGACTTTGTTTTTTATACTAATTTGTGAATAACTGTTGAAATGTTGGCTTAAATGAAATCTTTGAACTGAATATTACGGTAGAAATGTTTTGTTTATGTTTTTGCAGTAAATATTAGATATTCTTTGCATTAAGCGCTTAATTATTGAGCCTTAAAACACAAGTATTTAATAGTTTGCAATAAAATATTTTTAATATTACTATATTATAAAAAAGCAAAATATCTCTCTATTTATATGTCATAAGATTTGAAAACGATTTCTGAAAATAGATTTCTCCGGCTTTAAAAAATAAGTGATTCAATAATTGCTTGAATTTAAATGTATTTTAAGAATTGTAATATTATTTTTGATTATTAAAAACCATTTTATTTAACTGAATATTATGTACGTGAATAGTGGCATACAAAGTATCATGTATTAGATATTTAAATATAAATTTAATAATAATATACTGTACGAGTTGAGGGTTAGAATGAATTGATTTATTAATTAACTGTAAATTTAGTGCCCCTTTCACTAAGACTATCGTAATACAAGTAAAAGGTGTTTGAGTTAATGGTATTAACTTAAGACTTATTAAACGTGAAATTTTTAAGAAAGAAAGAAAGAAAGAGAGAGAGAGAGAGAGAGAGAGTAGTTTGTTGTGAAGCATTCGTATAGCGATTATTAGAAGTTTGGAAATTCAGGCCAATTTGGAGTGAGAAAGACCTAAAGGCAGGCATTATAGGTCATCCCTCCCGTGCCGTCCATATGAGCACAGCTTCATAAACAGCAAGAAGTGCTCTCTTGAGTCGACTATCCAAGGGTTGGCTGCTATCCACTCATGTGCTAAGACAAAGGGTTGGCACATATTTTCTTGTACTATATTTACGGCAAAACATGGTTTATAATTAGATAAGAGAAAAAGTTAAGGTACACTCTGTTTGAGACCCCCTTATAAAACTCTGACAGTGTGTTTGTGTGCCTGTGTTGCGGACTAACTGTCCAACTCTTGATTTACAGCCTTGAAAGCCAGGTATAAAAACACGTTTAGAGAAATCGTATCTGAGTTTCTATTTTAGCCTTTTTTGTCGACAACTTTCGTGAAAACAGTGTTATTTAAGTTCATCTGATTTCACGAAACAGAATCTGAGTTTAACTTTCGATTTGCGGTTTAGTTTCGAGTCAACAGTTAGTGTTGAGTCAAAACTTTTAGCGACAAGTTCTCCACATTTCCAATGAGTTTGAAACAACTTTCTGCCACTCGATTGCATTGGCTTTTGAAGTATTAATCACTTTTTGTTCATTCAAAACTACACCTCATATTCATATAGACATCAATACTTATGGAATAGCTATCTATAAGTGTGGCAACAGTTTGCTCCATAAGCTCAACTCAAACCACTTTTGAACGCCAGTCCACTCCTGTGTCCCACAGTTTGCAGTACTGTCTGTCTGTATGAGTGACTCGCGTGTGAAGAAGCCCTCAAGAAATAAATGTTTTTTGATTTATTGAATAACTTTAAAATTATTGATTTTTAATCAGTTGTTTGGTTCTTAAAGTGAAATTATTGTCTGATTTTTGTGGTCGAAAACAAGAGTTGTGTATATAATATACATGACATATAATAATAGTATTAATAATAAAAAGTGGAGAAAAACTGGAATAAGAAGTTAACGAACAAAACCAGAACTAATGAATATTTGTTGAAATTCAACGTTAGCTTTATTTTTAGAAGTTTAATAATAAGTTTCTTATATATTAGTTATAATAAGTAGTATTATTGAATAATTTATACGTTAGTTTTCACTCAAAATACCGTTCCCTCTCTCCATTCCTCGATTATCTGTTTATTTGGCACTAATTCTCAATTCAAGTCAATAATACATAACTGTTTGGTTCGGAAAGTCGACAAAAGTATCTCAAGAGTTGTTGTTTTCGGTGATAATCACTTCTGGAGATGTCTTTCGTGAACATGCAAACAGCGGTCTCGCCGTTCATAACGACCGTTGTCTCGACGTGTCGTTACTATTACTACGATATATGGCAGATGAGTGGTGACCCCCGGGTGGCCAAGTATGCCTTCTTCGAGGGCGGCCCCTGGTCTACACTGGCTATGATCGGCGCCTACCTGTACTTCATTAAAGTGATTGGACCCGAGTTTATGGCCCACCGGAAGGCCTACGACCTCAAGAAGACTATACTGGTGTATAATATAGCGATGGTTGTGCTGTCGGCCTGGATGTTCGTTGAAGGTCAGTACCCGTACTATCCCAACACTACTGTCCCATACAATCTCTATTTCCTAATAGTTGTGATTTTATGAATACGTTATGTTATTCTTATGCAATGAATTTCCTACGAATAGATGGGATTTTGGGATTTTAGACTAACTATTGTTTTCTGACAATTTCATTAACATTTCGTTTTTATATGTAATTTAATAATAATTTTATTTCTAAAATACAAAAATATATGTTTAAAAAGGAATTGTCTCTAAAATTACATTTCTATTAACTTTTCTATAATCTATTGTTCTCTCCTAAAAGAGTTTGTATTTTATTATATTTTTATATAAAAAAATATCAGAATGTCCTCAAAAAAAATAATTTTAGAAAAAAATGTTTAGAAATAGAGTTTAAGGAAAGTTTGATAAACAAAATGAAAATTTTTATTTTGAGAACAAATGGTTGCATAACTTAACATAAAGTTATATAATGTTTATAAAATGTAAAAATAAGTTTTTTGGCTATAGTTTTGTGGGAACTTTATAGCCTTTCCTTAAAAGAAAATAATTGAATAAATCATTACTTTATTATTGAATATATTATTAATTTTATCATAAAAGAGATGAATCCACAAATAGAGATCTCAAACACGAAATTAACATATATATTATGAATGAATACAACAGTTTGTTTAGCGATTGAAAGCTTTTCATGTTATGAAATCCTATAATAATACTAATATAACAAAAGTAAAGTCTTAATCTTTCAATACATTTCACTCATACAATAAAAACACTATTGAATGCAAGCCTTTAATTCTATTCACTATTATTTACTGATTAAAAAACTTATTATTACCAAACAATTGAATAGAAATCGTGTGAATATATATGTAAATCATAGTAAATATTATGATATATAGACAAATATAGCACACAAATGATTGTATATGAGCAGGGTTCTTTCTGCTGAACTACGGGCTGGACACGTGGGGCTGTCAAGTGGTGAACTCAGCCCAAACCGATGCCAAAGAGATGCGCAAACTGTTGTTGGGTTGGCTCTTCTTCATCACGAAATTCATTGAGTTCGCGGACACCGTCTTCTTCATACTCCGCAAAAAGACTACACAAGTGTCGACCCTCCATGTCATACACCACGCATTGGTTCCCATTCTCGTAAGTGTCACACATTCTCACGCTTTTCAGTCTTAACAGTAAATCAAATTGATTTACGAAATAACTGGAAAAAAGTGATAATAAGTGAAACGGAAAAATAAAAGAGAAACCCATTGCCCCCCGTATATAACAGGTGTGGATAGGGTTCAAGTTTGTGCCTGGTGGTTCCAACGCATTCTTCCCGCTAATTAACTCACTCGTGCACACAATTATGTACACCTACTACGGCCTGTCGACTCTGGGGCCGCACATCCAGCCCTATCTCTGGTGGAAGAAGTATTTGACGCGAATTCAAATGATCCAGTTCGTGCTAATCATACTGAACTCCCTGCGCCTCCTGTTCCTGCCCCAGTGCCAGTTCCCCAAACCCTTTATTTATATGACTGTTTTCAACGGCGGCCTATTTTTAATACTCTTCTCCAGTTTCTATCGTCAGGCCTACAAAGGCATCGCATTTAGGAATAAATCACAATAAATTTGAAATATAAATATATCTTATAAATATAAATATCTATAAAAACCCCCTTTTTATCTAAACTTCCTCTCATTTTCTCCACTTTTCATTCACTTTTTAAATGTTTTCCACTTTTACTCCTAAATATAACTTTCTATTCGCAACTCTCGTGGCATGAATTCTATGGACACTATGTGTACCACTATTTCACTACAGTATCAGAGCGACTATAATGTGCTAAATATTGGACACAAAACGTGTTAAACTGTATGTGAAATGATTGGTTCGCATATTTTAATCGCTTTCATACCGATATAAAGAGATATGTTTAGACACACGGAGTTGTATTAAATAGTTATAAATAGCCTTTAAATGTATGTGCAATTCAAGCCCCAATCGAGTGAACCCCTAAACTTGACCCGAACTCCAGTCCCAGTCCTGACTGACTGTCTATTTTCAATATTTTTAATCAATACTACTATTTATAAATGTAAAACAACTCTTAAGTTACGAGTCTTGATATTTCCATTTATAAGACATTCAGAGCGCTAACACATTACAGACTATTGTTTTTTATTTACATATTTTATATGAATTCTTATATTTTATTCTTTTCATAAATTTATTATTAAATATAAATCATTTGAATGAAGAAAAAAGTTGTAAATTTGAACAAAGAATTGATAAATCAATAAAAACAAGAAACATAGGAAGATATCTATATTTGTATTCATTTCTATTTAATTGCCTTTTTATATGGAAATAATAATACTGTCCATAAATAGGATATTGTGTTCAAATGCGATGAGAAAACTCTTGTCTAATGTATAATTGCTGTCAAAATTCTTAACCCTATTTATCGTTGCATTCAATCATACATTTTGGTTGCATTTCTACTATACATAACAATTCAATTGAGAGTTTAAACAACAATTAAAGCCTCATTTCGACTCTGCCTTCGAGTTTCTATTTATACCAATAAAACACTTAAATCACAAAACAATGGAAAGAAATTTAGTTTTTCATATTTAAAGATGTTTTTGCGCTCGCAATTGATTTATAAATTATTATAAATTTGATTAATGAGAAGATTACGAAAATTGTGTTTAGATTTTAAATCAAATATAAAACAATAAAAACTTTTTTTAAAGCAACCATAAAATTGCATTTTCAATTCAACAATAATTTATCATTTGTTGTAATTTTTTCTATAGTTATTAACTTTTTCCCCACTTTTGTACGGAGGGTATGGTCTCTCTCTCTCTCTCTCGCTCTCTCTCTCTCTCTCGCTCTCTNAATTTATCATTTGTTGTAATTTTTTCTATAGTTATTAACTTTTTCCCCACTTTTGTACGCAGGGTATGGTCTCTCTCTCTCTCTCTCTCTCTCTCTCTCTCTCTCGTGTTGAGTAGAAATTTATTCCCAAAAAACATTTTGAAAATGAGATTTTTGTTTGTAAACAATATTGAGTTTTTATACATTAGTTTGTTGTCTTTTGATTTTTTACTTTATTAACTAAAAATAGATTTTACTTTGTACTCAAATCTGCGGTTATGTATGCATTACATAACATGTAATGAATTCAAAAACCAAACAAAAGTTTTATCGAAATTAGCATAACTTTTAAGAAAAACTGAATTTTTGATTTCAATTTATATTAATATATTAAAAACTATTTATCCGTTTTTCAATACAGCATAAGAGGTTTTAGCTAAAAATATTTGATTGATCGCCAAAAGGGCATTAAAATATCAAATGAAATACTTTCATATATTTTGTATAAGTTTTTGAAATAAACTCGTTTAATTCACTAAAATTACCATTCGTTATATTTATTCCCATTAGAATTACTTAGAAATTAATTCATGAATTGATTACACAAATTGAATATAAACTTATTTTATTAATAGAGTGCGAGAGAGAGAGAGAGAGAGACCATACCCTCCGTACAAAAGTGGGGAAAAAGTTAATAACTATAGAAAAAATTACAACAAATGTGAGAGAGAGAGAGAGAGAGAGAGAGAGAGAGAGAGAGAGAGAGTACTGGCGTACTGGTCTCATTGTAAACCACACTATATTTACAACTTATTGAGTACTACTAAACAAGTTTTTTAGCTCAAAAATAATCTTTATTTTGGAGAAAAATATTAATAGAAAGAGAATGTTCTCAAAAGGAGAGAGAGATTTAACTGTAAATAATAGTTAAGTGTTTGTAAATAACGGCTAATAATAGTGGGAATTAAAAGCAGGTTTAAGCGAATAAATTATAGATTAGAATCAACCGACAAAATTATTTGAGAAAAAAAGATCTTTACAAATATTTAGCTAAATATCCAAATATAAACTGTCTATACGTAACAGTAAATTGAGTTTTATTTTTCATAGCTAACTAATCATATCAAATATAAATTTATATGAAATAAATGAATGAATGTATAAATGTGTGAATCTATCCAGTGATCAGACATTCATTCATTTATACTCTTTTCATGATTTCTATATTTAAATAGCATTTGTCTTTTGAAACAAATGTCAATCAATCAAAGCTTAGTTAAAAATATTTAGTAAACCAAATGGTTTTTATCTGCCATTTATGCAACGATGTATTGATTGAGGGATTAATGTGTTTGTAATTGTATTATTAGATCGAGAATTTGTGTAAAAGAAAATTGTTTTTCAATTCATAGGTGTATTTGAAAATGCATTGAATCGCTTTAATCACAAATAAATAAACTTTGATTATAAGAGTTCTCGTTCTCATGGCATTCAAATTCAATTAGTTTTGAATGAATTGTTTTTTGCAAAGGATTTCATTCAAAAATATATACAAGTTTTCAAGCTTAACCGACTTAATCAGTAATTGTTTGTCATTTAATATATATCTTCGTGTCTGAAATGAATGTCAAAAAACAATTCATTTCGGATATATTTCAAGAGACAATAAGAGACGCAAAGAATTTTGTTTTTCCCAAATTTGGTCCAACGATTAAATGGCTTCCGATATCACCGTAAGATTTAAGAGCTTTATCTGACGTATGGCACGAAAACAATCACCATTTAATTGGCTTAGAGTTAGACAATAGGATTAAGGAATTAGACACAAAGACAATGACAAGTGATTACAATAAGGGTAATGAAAGACACGACCAAATGGACAAAATTATTTCTCAAATCACTTTAACTCAAAAGATGGAAAGTCTCCGAAAACTTGTCGACAAAGTTAACAAATTCATCGCTTCGGTGGCCATCAATACCCTAATTATTATGATTTTATTGTTTCTCAAAATATTTGTTAATAACAAGCAATCGGTTTATATTGAGAATTGGTTTGAATTCCTCTATTCGGCGCTAACTTTGTTCATACTATCGGTGCTTACGTTTGATATGCATGACTGTCATTGCGGTAGACCTACTATGCCGGGCATTACCAGAGATATCCGACTCTATGATCTCATAATCGTTTTGGACTTTTCACTGGTTGTGCGNTTTGTTCATACTATCGGTGCTTACGTTTGATATGCATGACTGTCATTGCGGTAGACCTACTATGCCGGGCATTACCAGAGATATCCGACTCTATGATCTCATAATCGTTTTGGACTTTTCACTGGTTGTGCGACACATTATTGTCGGACTTCCTGTCAGTGGGCTCACAGTCTGCCGATTACTGACACTCATTGTCTACTCGTGTCGACTATGTCTTCACATTTGTCTTCAATATAACGCGAGGTTTGCGAAATTCAAAGCACACAAAGTGAACAAAAATATGAGACTATTTCTCCAATAATTAAGGATAAGAGTTAGAAAGAGTTGAAAATCCAGTCAAACCATCAAAAACACATTAAGAGAGAATAAAAGCGTTTTTATAATACATTTAACGACTGAACTATAAATGAAATTTTTGTGTGAATTTTTCGCTCTCTATATAAAAACTCGAATAACTTTTACATTAAAAAATAAAAAATAAAATAAAATTGTTTTTCCAAACCAACCGTTATTTTAATTGTAATTAAATCTCTAATGAAATGTGAAAAGAGTCAAACATTTGGGAAACAATTTATCCTTTCGTTTAAATGGGAAACAAAATGAAAGTTAATTATTGAACTCAAAAATTTCCTAACTTTTCAAACATATATTTCTTATATTCTTTACATTCAACACAAATAAAAAAGAAATTACTGTCGAAATGAAACACGAAATTCAGGAAAAGTATAGTTATTTATAGATTTTTATAAGACTAAGAAAAACATATAAAAAATTGTTTTAAAACGATTGAATTAAATTTCTCTTAACTCTTAATACACGGCATATTATTTGAGAAACTGATTGTTTTGATTACATTATATGAACGATACATTCAGTCATTCATTGAATACATCTTAAACTCAAAATTCAATAATAAAGCAGATTTTAATCTAAATCGCCGGTCAATTGGTTCAGATCCTAATCTATTATAAATTTAGCAGAAAATTACTCATAATATTACTCTATTTAGAAAAATCACAATTCAAACTAAATTATAAGCAAATATTATTTTGATTACTACTTTATGGTAAACAGTAATTAAAGGTATGCACTATAATTTAAAAAGTAAATATACTAACTATACTACTAAAATTCTGTAATATTAGCATAGAATTAATATAAATTATGCTATTGTAAACAAAAAATGAATAATAAAAGTTTAAAGCAATAAAAAGGACACAGGTTAATTAAAAAAATTATTTATTAAAATTTATGAAAGAAAATCAATTGGAAATTTTGCGATAAAACAGACTAATAATGAAATAATGTGTTGATAGGGGAGAACAATGTGTGAAACAATGAATGGGAAAACGTTTTGTTTTGTATTTTGGGTTCACAAAAATAATATATAAATATATGTATTTAAATAACTATTAAATTTAAATTAAGAAATGAATTGGAAAAAAAATTTGTATAAATTAGATGCAAATTCATTGAAAATAAATTTGTATTGTTTTACACACAATCGGAGTCTTAAACCCAAAAAATAAAACTAAAATAGTTTGAGCTCTTCTTTTATGTTAAGGGATTTGTTAACAAATGTTAAGTGATATTTGAAATGAGAAAACAAAAATATTATTTAATACATCTATAATAAAAAGGAGATTTGGGAACTCATAATGCGATACAAAAACGGTTATGTTTCCAATCATTTGCATCCGTTACTAAAACAGTAATTAATATAATATACAAAAATTATTTATTAATTACTGTTTCAAAAAAGAAATCAAATAAAATTAAGACTTTATTGTTTTACGTCCTTTTAATGTCTTGAAAGCTCTCTCCCTAATCGTAACAGTTGTTTAGTTTCGCAAAACAATTATTAAATTATGAAGAAGAGCCAACCCAACAACAGTTTGCGCATCTCTTTGGCATCGGTTTGGGCTGAGTTCACCACTTGACAGCCCCACGTGTCCAGCCCGTAGTTCAGCAGAAAGAACCCTGCTCATATACAATTTGTGTGCTATATTTGTCTATATATCATAATATTTACTATGATTTACATATATATTCACACGATTTCTATTCAATTGTTTGGTA